GCCAGTTACGTATGGCCGTCTCTTCATGCTCGCCACGTCGTCGGGACTGGTGGTGCGGTCGTTGCAGCGCGACTGGTTTGACATTAAAGCAACGAACGAGCAGTTGAGCACACTGCCGCTTCGTTTCCGCTTTGTCAGTCGCACTGCGGCAACCGGCACTGTTGTCCACTATGGAGACAATGTTGCAATTGAAGAGGTCATTGTCACTGGCCAACTGAGTCCGTCCGACCAAGCAGCCTTGCTGCAACGAACGCGTTTCCAGCGGATGGAGCCGCACTATCTCACCATCAACAGCGGCAATGGGTTGGTTCCCATCAGCCAGAATATGACTGTGCGCTCTCGTATGCTGACAGAGATTGGCGATCTGGAATGGACTGTTCACCTGTCTCGCAATCCGACCAGCACGAGCCTCTCGTCCGTCACTCCGCTGTTGTCGTACAGCCGGCAAGGAGACGATGTGCTGAGCCGCACGTTGCTGTTTTCTGCGACAGTTGACCTGCTCGAGAGTGCCGGCATTGACGACTTGAACACGTTGCAGGCTCGCTTGACGTTTAACGATCCCGTCACTCGCGACTCGCCAATCGCCCAATACCCAGGCCGCGACCGCCTCTCCACGATCACCGATGACGCCTTCCTGACCCGGCTCGATTTTGTCGTGCAGCTTCTGCGTCCGACCACTGCCGGGCTTGCCTTACATCTGGCTTCCAGCTCGGACGCAATCCTGACGTCCGGAAATGCAGGCATTGCGCGAGAGGTGAAGATTTCCTCGGTGCGTATTTCAACCCGCGGTCGTTCCAGTACTGCCTACCAGTTTGTTATCAAGCTCGCCGAGCCAGCCCATGATGGCGACGTGCTGAGCGTTTCTCTCAGTTCTCCAGAGCTGGTCAAGTCCACCAGCCAGGGTGTGTCTGTGGCTCCCGCTGACAACCAAGCCCTGTCCGAGCTTGTGCTTCCAGTTCGCTTCCAGCTGAGCAACAACTCGAGCATTGTGTTCCATTCCACTTCAAGCAACGGTGCCGAGACGACCGTGCCACTGACGTTTTCGACGGGTGTTGTGAATGCCGAGCGTGACTTCCCCTCGGTCTCTGACTTTGTCGTGACGGACAGTTCTTCGCCGGCGCGTCTTTTGACGATTGTTTCGGCGCAGTGCCAGGTTATGAATGGGACTGGAAACGCGCTGGTGTTGGACTCTGTTCGGCACGAGGCAGACGTTCAATCGGGATGCGTGCATGTCCTTGTCGGAGTTGCGACCAGCGATCGCATGCACCTCACCTTGCCCTTGTACATTGACGTCGTTCAGGCGCGTATCCGTGCGGCCCAACGTGTCGAATATGCCGAGCGGCGCCGTGTGGCGTTTTATGATGAATGATGCTGGCGAGTGGTTTCTTCCATTGCTGTTTGCCGGATGATTGTTTCGAATAGGAGGTCATGGTCGAGCCAGCTCTAGCGTGCTTGTCCCTGCTTTCCTTCTGGTTTCTTTGTTTGTTTGTTGTTTGTTTGTTTGTTTGTTTGTTTTTGTGCTTGACCCTTGCTTTCTTTGTTGTTAGTTTGTGATTTTCTTTTGTTTGTTACGACCTCAACCGGAACTTGACCTAGAATCACTACTGAAGCGTACGAAATGTATGCGGAAGTATCGTTTACTAAGAATGTAGTGAAGAATGAGGGGGAAGCCCGACTAGGGATGAGCCGAGTTCGTAACTACGATCAACAAAGGGCGATTCGAGCATCGTAAACGC